ACGTTGGAAGATATTATTACAAGTTGGAATGGAGAATGATCGGTGCGGCGACAACGAGATGGACTCGATAACGATAGGGTCGCGCGTAGAATGTGAAATATGACGTATCGTGTTATTGAACGATAACTGCAAGTTATTAGGGTCGATTGACGAGTAACTCGACGTAAGGAGCGCGTGTAAAATGTGTGTGTGTGTGTGTGTGTCTCTCTCTCTCTCTCTCTCTCTCTCTCTCTCTCTACGTATGCGTGCCGCGTACAAAGCCGTGTCTCTTCGACTTGGTTGCTACTCTCGCGATTGGCGTCACGAGTCGCGACTTACGGCGACACGGGCATGGGACATGGGCGACCTTACGTATGTAAATTATTCCCGCACAAATACTGCCTGATAGAGATTCGTTCTCGCAACTCGCAATAATACGTAGGCAGTCGCGCCGACTCGCGCACTCGATGAGCTAATACTCGTGCTCCGCTCGGGAACGGGCACCTAATATAATCTGTCCAGTCGACATTCGACTTTGGCGCGCATTTAACGTCTCGTTTGTCAGTCGCCGATTTCGGATAAAGTTTCGTGCTTACGTATTGTAAGAGTACATATGTTGTCGTTCAGAATTTGTGCGTAATTGGTAGTGAATAAGCAATCGTATATTGTTCACGAGAGTAAGTTGAACAATTGGATATATACATATACTAGGTAGGTATTATACATCGCGAGGATTCGGCAGGCTCGTATATTCCCTCTCCGCATTGGCAGACTTTCCGATTTTGTTCTTTCCAGAGTATAATTTTTTCTCTGAAAATCTATAAAAGCATATATACGCGTGCATGTACAGTGTTGGCCAATTTGCTATTAAGAAATAAGCCGAATAGAAAGTATAATAATTCGAGTCTGCCATAAAGTTATAAGAATAAGCGCAATAGTGGGTTTCCTTTTCCTCTTTCTTTTTTATACTTCTCTGACTTGTGAGAGGCTCTCGCTGAATTCAGTCGAATTCAGTTGGGAGTGGTTCAACAGCTATTCTATTCCATAATTTATAGGAAAGCATTTTTAAATCTTTCTATTACCATCAACATTTAATTATTATTATTATTAATATATAATATCGGGAGCAAAAATTCTGCGGAGAATAACTGCAGAAGCATTATATTGCATGCCATTGAACTGTTGAGCTTCAATTTGTTATATTTATACAGATTAGAAATATTTTTTTTATTCCGTTGTATTCGCGTACACGCATATTCACACGGACTCATTTCTCTCCATCCTTTGGTATAAAACGTGTTTAGTAAAGGTACAATAGAAATGGGTGAAATTTATTCTACCCTACGGGGTATCTATACTAAAAAATGTTAAATGTTTTCATATATATATATATATCTCTCTCTCCCTCTCTTTCTCTCTCTCTCTCTCTCTCTCTCTCTCTCTCTCCCCCAGCAAATGGCATGTGATATTACAATAGATCAATCTTGTCCAACTGAGGCTCGTTCAATTGTTTTCAGAGAAAATGCTAAGTGGCAGTAACTTGAATCGATTTAGCGACGATGACTTTTTCAATGGTGGACCGTGTCCGTCGTGCAGATTGGCCATCAATAAGGAAACCGGTAGACTCAAGTGTGTGACAAGTTTCATGTTTTATTTTCTGTACATTTCGCTACAACAAGTAGTTGTCACATTTTTAACAAGTGAGTGAACCTTTTGCAAAACCCATTGTCAGATGGTGTACCGGCGGAAGTGAAGCGCGGCGTTTTCGTATCAAACTGATGCTCCTCATACCTGCCGTGTTGCTGCCGATTACTATAGTGTTCATCGCTCTGTCGCGATTTCAAGCCACAACCAAAGCCTCCGACTCACGCGCGGTTTCCACTTTTTATGAGATGCCGGAACAGGATAAAGAAATGAAAATTGAGAATGACGTTTTCTGGAGTAAGTTCCTTAAAACTCTTAATTTCCATTGTTGTATACATATTACATATAGATAGACATAACGATTTGTGGTTAACGCTTCCAATTCAATGATAGACTCAAATCTACCAAATCTGTGTGATATTACTTATATTTGTGCAGAGAGTAAATGGTATTTCGTAGTCTTATACGTCAAGTAAGATATCGCGTTGCAAAGCTAACAAAATTTTATCTGCAGTCTCGTCACTGTTTATCATTATATTGAATAATAGACATGAGCCAAATATTACAGTAATAATGTAAAAGAGTATACATTTTTTAAATCAAATCAAAATATATTGATTTTCTTCACGCATCGTAGAGAGATTGAAAAAAAAAAGTTGTCAAAACGTACTTTCTACCGTTTTTCAAGAACGCCCTTCAAGAACTGATTAATTACGTTATCCAGCTACCAGTCGCAACAACGTAGAACGCACGGCGGAAGAAAGCGAAGAAGAGGATCGACTTTTGCATCCCGATATGAAAACGAGTTACGTGCCTGTAGACACGCATCCTCCATTTCGATCGCAATCGCCCCACCGACGCAAACGAGACATCGACGGGGTACTTAATCTCCAAACAAATTCAGGGCTCAAGATACCAAATTTGGTTCTCTGATTAAAGAATAATCCTACTCTCTTTCCCCTTCTTCTATATATACGTTCCTTCTACCGTGTTACATTTTCGCGCCTTGTCTCATTCTCTCTCTTCTCTTCCCGTTTTATCCCCCGTGTCCTTGCATCGTCTGCAATCATTGTATCCACACACGCCACAAGTGGCAAGAAAATATCCCGAAGACGACACGATCCTTTTCAGGAGAATCACACGAGGGATGGTTTCGAATTGGACGATCGAGCAACGTCCTCGTCTCGTGCACATGTTCGTTTAGCTAACGGCAAATTGGCAGATTCTCTTTCGAGGGAAGAATCAGATAGGAAAAATGATACATCGGAGAGATCCTTCTCGGCTTCAGACAGCGTGAGGTCGTACGTCGACAGAATCGAGGTACATAAGGCGGGTGATGCCCTGCTGATGATTATTAGAAAATTTAGCAAATCTACGCTTATCATTATCGGTAATTTTCACAGCTGTCAGAAATAAATTGTTCAAAACACTCGATAATATCTCAATAGTTTTTGCAATATATATATATATATATCTATATATATATATATATTGATGTAAATTCGGGTAACATTTTACGCTTTATATATTGGAAAAAGAATCCCTCGACAACATCATCAACTTGTAATTATATTTTCTGGGGACTCGCGTTTGTCGCGATGATCTATCATCGAATGCGCGCGGACATCGCAAAAAAGAGAAAGAGATTACAAAAGTATAATCTGTGCGCGTAGAGATAAAAATAAGTGGAATTGAACATTTACCTCTCGCTTCCTGTACCATTTTAGTATGCGACGGGATATACACAATCATAATCCAAAGATGTGTGCGTGCGTAAGTGATTAATTCGATCGAAGGATTCTCTCGATTGTGTCACTAAATTTTGCATAGGTGCAGAAGATTGGCGACACGATCGAAAGCAACAACGCGCGGGACATCGATGAGGAAGACAATTTCTTAGGCGATTACTATCCGGAGGAAGAAGCTGATGGCGATACTTATGAAAGTAGTGGAATCAAGTGTAACTATCGCTATTCCGAGTCAGTATTATAATGCTTAAAAATCGATACGTGATTTATAATCTATGATTCAATGTTTTCGATTCAAAATTCTTCTCGTCCAATTCGAATTCCAATTGAATCGTCAATCGTGATGAATTTTTCAATATATTCAGAAAGAAAGTTGAAGTGATGCCATTTAATAATTTTAAGATTCGCGGACGTAGGTGTTGAGAAACGATCGAAAGAGGGATCGGAGATGAGAGAAAAGACCCGTGGAGAGGAAGACTCGTTCTCCATTTCCATCAACGAAACGTGGTTGTCGGTGATCGACGGACACGTTACGATCAAGGACGACCAAATGCCTGATCTTCGTACATTCTGGAAAGGCGAAGGAAACGCTACAAGTATTAGAGAGGCTCGAGGTGAGATATATATACATATATACTCACCTCGAGCTACAATTTCTTTCTTTCGGCCCTTTTGACATTTCTCGCTGAAAATATACTACGTGCATGAAAGGGAGTCGAAGTCAAAGATAAACTAAAGGAGTGTCGCTTGTCGAACGTAGCTCGAATAATGCTGAGGTACATGGATAAGAGCGTGGATCCGTGTCAGGATTTCTATCAGTACGCTTGTGGTAACTGGGCGAAACGTAATCCTATTCCTAAAGACAAAGCCGGCTACGATACTTTTGAGATGCTCAGAGAATCGCTGGATTCTGTATTGAGAGAATTGCTGGAGGATCCGATATCGCGCGACGCCGATGAGCTAGATGGCGACGATGCTACGGTAAAGGCGAAACATCTGTTTCAAAGCTGCATGAATTACGGTAAGTAGGTGCACTACCTTGGTAGTGTACCTTAATTGGTAGACCAAGCTGATTATTATTCGTGCGAGCTTTTTGAACGTGGCAAGGATATGGCTAGAGATCTTGGAGGAACGTATGGAGCAACCACTCATCCGGCTTCTGGACGAACTTGGTGGCTGGCCGATTTTAAGGCCAGATTGGGATCCCGACAAATTCGACTGGCTCCTCTTGACCGCGCAACTTCGACTGTACAATAATGACGTACTGATCTCGGAATGGGTGGGTCCAGATATTAAAAACAGCGACAAGTACGTGATACAGGTAACAGAGGGTGAATCCGTTGTATCGTGCCTTGGCCTCGACCTTGCCTTGTATCATATCACAAAGAAACAATGACATAAACATCTTGTTGAAACATCTCGTTCACAGTTTGATCAAACATCGCTCGGGCTTCCTACGAGAGATTATTTCCTTCAACCGTCTAACGCAATTTACCTAGAGGCCTACAAGGACTACTTGATGAGAATCGCAATCTTACTCGGCGCATCCCTAACTAATGCGACGATTGACGCCGAAGAGCTGATTGAATTCGAAACGCAACTCGCATCGGTACGTACTGCGTGCATTCTCACCATTTCTCTCTCGCACCATTGCATTTATTCATTTTACGTTGTTTTCTTCAACAATACGATTATTTTGATCTCGAATCTCGTAGATTACATCGTCACCGGACGAAAGACGAAATTTTTCGGAACTTTATCGACGAATGAGTATAGGTGAACTGAGAGTACTCGTGCCGCAAATCGATTGGCGCCGTTATTTGTCGATTGTCTTGGCTCGACCGATACACTTTTCCGAGCCAGTTGTCGTCTTCGCGTTGCAATACATCCAAGATTTGGTTGTTTTACTTTCAAAGACGCAACCTAGGTGCATCATAGATTTTACATGTTGCAACTTTGGTCCTCCCTTCCTTCCTTCCTTCCTACATTTTGCATTTTTAATGCAGATGTATGTATGTATATGTGTATGGAGAGGTAAAAACCAGAGTGGTGTAAGTCAAATTTTTTTAAATAATTTCTGCGATTTATATATTGTACAGATTGTGCATCTATGCACACGAGAAAATATTTAAAAAAATTTGACTTGCATCACGCTCTGGTTTTTACCTCTCCATATAAAGCAATCATTACGAGCAATCATTATTTTCGCAGAACAGTGGCAAATTATCTTTTATGGAGATTTGTGCGGCACAGAGTTAACAACTTGGACGATCGTTTCCAGGAGGTCAAGCAAAAATTTTACTACATTCTGTTCGGTAGAGAACAAGCGCCGTCAAGATGGAAAAACTGTGTAACTCAAGTCAATTCGAACATGGACATGGCCGTTGGTGCGATGTTTGTCAAAAAGCATTTCGATGAAAACAGTAAAAACGACGTAAGTATAATATATCTTAGCTCATCACTCTTGAGCTTGTGTACTGATGCGAGTTACAATTAGTGTAACTTTTGTAAAAGAAGGAGAAAAAGAGAAAAAGTAAAAATGGATGAATATTTATATCTTTATTAAATACGATTCGAGCCAGAGGAGACATGTTTTATTTGTTTATCGACATTGCAGACATTATCGATGACTCGAGAGATACAGCGATCTTTTAGAGAGCTGCTAGACAAAACCAATTGGATCGACGACGAAACGAAGCGATTGGCGTCTGAAAAAGTAAACGCTATGTCGCTGAGAATTGGCTATCCAGATTTTATCCTACAGTCACATCTACTGAACGAGCGTTACAAAGATGTAATGTACCTTTATAAGTATAAAAATTTGTACATATAATATCTGTTAAGACACATCCGCGTTATAACGATATACGTAACGGAGGATAATTACAATGGAGAGATGAATTATTAATATAGAATTATTAATATTATTGATTTGCTGTTTTTGTAACTTTTAATAAACTTTTAATTTTTAATAAACAAGTTTTTATTTTATTTTTTGACATTCTTATTCGATTGCTCGAAAATTGGCCGTCTGTCATTCTTATTAGCCGTTGCTCTCATTGAGCCGCGCAGACGGCCAATTTTCAAACAATCAAATAAGGACGTTAAAAAATAAAACAAAAAATTTGTTATATATATTTTTTACAATTAATATTATCTTAACACAGGTTGTGATTCGACCAGACAAGTACTTTGAGAACATTTTAAATATCCTGCGACACTTGACCAGAGTCGAACAAGCTCGCCTTGGCAGAGCTGTTAATAAAACTTTGTGGAACACTGCGCCAGCGGTCGTAAACGCTTACTACAGTCGCAACAAAAATCAGATAAGTAAGTTTCAGACTGTCATTTAAGAGGAAGCATCTGTATTTATATTTCTGTTTCTATTTCTATTTACTTTTTCTCTCGCAGTTTTGCGCTTTAAAAATTAGTTTCCCTAAACCGTTCTTGTAAAACCCTCTCTCATTTTGTCTTCCAGTGTTTCCAGCGGGCATACTGCAGCCTCCGTTTTATCACAGATTTTTTCCGCGAAGTTTAAATTACGGTGGGATTGGTGTCGTGATCGGACACGAGATTACTCATGGATTTGACGATAAAGGTAGATTGTTCGATAAAGATGGGAATCTTCATAGGTGGTGGAAAGACGAAGCAATCGATGGTTTTCACCGGCGAGCGCAATGTCTCATTGGTACCTACGGAAAGATAAAATTTTCTCTCTTTGATCAATCGCAACACGCAAATAGATGTTATCGATCCACGTTATACTAATAGGGAACGTTCACTATTGCTCATATAATCGAGTCGTCTTCCTTCTCGTAGATCAATACGCACGTTATACCGTGACGGAAGTTGGAATGCAGATAGACGGTGTTAATACGCAAGGGGAAAATATTGCTGATAATGGCGGCATTAAACAGGCCTTTAGAGTAATTTCGCAAGTTGTCCTCTCCTCTCCGACTCGAATCAAAGATTCTAGTTTCAACGACTGAAAAGTTTACAAAGTCTTCTTTGTACAGGCGTACGAGAGATGGCTGCGTTTGAACGAAAGGGAAGACGAGACCTTACCCGGAATGAATGCGACGGGTAAACAATTATTTTTTTTGAACTTTGCTCAAGTGTGGTGTGGTTCGATGCGTCCTGAAGCGACGAGAAATAAGTTGAAAACAGCTCTACATTCGCCCGGTAGATTTCGAGTGATCGGCACGCTCTCCAATTCGAAAGACTTTGCTCAGGTCTTTAATTGTCCTCTTGGTTCCCCCATGAATCCCGTGAGCAAATGCTCGGTGTGGTAAAACATGTGGCGAACTGTTCGTCGCGAACATTATACATAAACAATACATAGTTCGTGTGCATGTATCGATACGATTTATTCCGATCATACTTGCTATTGCCGAGCACATTTTTTATTGTAAACGTATTAATTACGCTTAAGCGTACTCTTTAAATTAAGATACCCAGTGGCTTCCTAGAAATGTATAAAATAATGGAGAAATACATATTTTTTTTAATGCGCTTATTGGACGCTTTGTATATTATTTCAAGATATCTTGCGCTGGCAGGGGGAGGAGAGAGAGAGAGGGAGGGAGAGAGAGAGAGAGAGAGAGAGAGAGAGAGAGAGAGAGAGAGAGAG